AAAATGAGAATGAACTTCATGCTAGACCATGGCCAGATGCACCCGCCACATTTTTGTCTTTTTCACATTTCTCAAGTGGTGTCGCCGGAGGCCCTATATGTGTGTTGTGCTTTGAATCATGATGATTGTATTCAAACACTCCGACTCATGTTTGCAACAGATATCTGGTCCACCCGTCTCTTTTCCGAGAAACCTGTTCATTGCACTTGCATATCTGATCCCAATTTGGGCGTCACCACACCACTCTCGAAACGTGCAAAATGAGAATGAACTTCCCGCTAGAACATGGCCAGATGCGCCCGCCAAATTTTTGTCTTTTGCACTTTTCGAGAGTGGTGTGGCGAGGCCCTTTGTCTCTGTCACGATCTTCCATCAGCAGATGTCAGCCTCGGCAGATGCAGGCAGATCCGTGTTTCTGGTCTTGGGCGGCCTACTGCCCGTAGCCCCGGTTGACCCACTTTTTCTCCTTGTCCGTTAGGTACTGTGGCCCCAACAGATGGGCAATAACGGTCCAGACCCTCTCTCCCCACCCACTTAGCCATTTTTTTTACTTAATGCCCTTTCGTAGATCACGCTTGGGTATCCCAGAAGACTGAGTTCCCCATGGAAGGTAATTAGTAATTACTAACTAGTACAACAATGGGTATTTACTATTTACTATTTACTATTTACTATTTACTATTTACTATTTAGACTCTTCTGAAGTATTTGGCTCTGATCCTGTGTAGAGTTCGTATGATCGTGGCAAACTTTTGTTTGTATGAAGTTTCAAGTTTTCAACCCGTAAGCGCTGTAGCTCTTTGCTGTCATAGACCTGAATTCTTCCCTATTCCAGATGAAGTCTACTTTTTTTTTTTTTTTTTTTTTTTTTGTTGTTGTTGTTGTTTTTGTTGTTTTTGGAACCGCAGTGCCCCATCTATTCTGGGGGGTTGCAGTCCCGTTACTTGTCACCGGCAAGCATGAAACAGAGTTCGAGAGTCGGAGAATAGCAGCAAGAGCAATCCCAGACCCGTCGTCCTAGACGCTATGCAGCGGGGAAAGGTAGGGGAGGGGAGGGGGGTTAGCGGCTGAAGTCTACATTTTTAAACTTGTGGGAGGACATGATCTTCGAGTACAATCAGCTTCGTTTCCAAGAACACTCCCTGATGCTGTTTCTTTTTTTTCTTTTTTTTTCGTTGTCCGTTCTTTCAAGAATCAAGTCGCTGTGCTAACAGCTCATGATCTTGGTCCAACCTGCTTTCTGCTTTTTCTTTCTGTCCTTCTCTCTGATTTGTGCCATTTTTCTTTCTCTCCCTTCTCTGATTTGTGCCATGTGATGAGAGAAGGAGATGATCGACGAAGCTCTTTCCACATACCGATTGTCCGTCCTTACCCAGCGATCTCAGAAAGCCACACTCAGCTTTCATAAACACCAGGTAGGTGAGTACAGGGCCGGTATGCCCGCCCATTGAAATTCCTTTCCTTTGGATAAAAATATCATCAAAATTGATCAAATCGTCAAATACTATTCAATAGCACAAAAAAAATATGTTCATGAGTAAGAAATCCACCATCCTCAATACATCACTCAGTCGAATCGACTTCCAGCCCACTTCCCCCCTTGTGATGTGTTTCAGTTGGAATGTTGCTGTGTTTTAGCTTTAAGTGTGGCTGTGCTCCAGTTGGAATCGCTGTGTTTCCAGCTACCATCTTCACCCCAATAGACGCCCGGTCGTTATCGTTGCATCTTGTCCATGGACTGAAAAATGCCATGCCCCAAATACAGCTATAATGATCGGGCGTTATATCCCGGGTGAAGACGGAAGCGTGTGTGCCTGTGTTGCAGCTGGAACGTATGTGTTCCAGCTGGTGTGGCTGTGTTTAAGCAGCACAGCTGCTGTGTTCCAGCTGCAACGGATGTGTTCCAGTTGGAATGGTTTTTGTTCCAGGTGAAATGGCTGTGTTCCAGCTGGAATGGAATGGCTGCGTTCCAGGCTCGATGTGGTTGTTGTACGGACCCATAACTACTGCTGAAGCCGCCTGTGGAACATGTGGGCAGAGATAAGTCCCGTTTGAGTGACAGGGTATACAATGTACCAGTGGGGAGGTAACATGCGCGATTGGAGCTGAGTGTGCGAGAATTGCCGACGCGTCCGTCTGGTGTTGAGTGTGGTGTTGTGTTGAGTTTGGACGGTACAGCCTTGCAGGTTTGGGGTGGATATCCGGACCGGTATGGTCCCACTTTTGAACACCATGTCCTGGCTGTAGTGGTTAAGAGACATGGCTCTTTTGGCCAAGGTCTCAGGTTCTAATCTGAGGCCCAGATGTACGGATCCAGAACTCCTGTGTTCCTGCCCAAGAATGGCTACTGTGATGGAGCTGAAAGTCAGATGTGTTCCAGTTGAAGTCTTGCTGTGTTCCAGTGGAACTTGCAGAGGTTTCCCAGATCAAGGGTCATTCCCGACTTCGCAGCTGCGATCTGTAGTTGAGGAAATCTCATGCCGTTACAAGAACGCGCACGACGCATGTGCTTGTCGTCACGTTTCCTCTACATCCATCCCAGATGACGTTGCTGTACCGTCGATATCTCTGCGGATATCATGGGAAAGGGTCATTCCCGA